ATTTTTTATTCCACTCGCAGCTCCTTCTTATTGAGTTCTCCGTGTCTCTCTGCAACTTGTCATAACCTGTAATAAAATGCCCTTTTTGTCGGGAGTTAAAGTCCAGAGGGCAGCGGTTCTATTTTCAACTGACAGCCGAGAAAAGGAGCCGCGGCGGCCTCCCTTTTGTCTGCCTCGGGTTTAACTCCTGCGGGGCCGACTGGGGAGATCGTGCCCCCGCGCGGGTCGCCTCCCTCTGCAGGCTCCGAGGTCGCAGGTGCGGGGAGCTCACCACCCCCCAAAAACACCCGCAGCTGAGCTGCCGCCGCCGCCAATTTCGGGCTCAGCCCCGCGGGGATCGCAGCCGGCAGGGCAGTGGCTGTGGGAGAAAGTTCTGGGCCTCCGAAGCTAGGAACATCTGCAACTAAGGCAAGGTCCTCAACAGGAGAGAAGCCCATTCATTCGCAAGTTCCCAATTTTGGGGCCATGGCGGGGGGCGGGGTTGGAGTGAGAAGGGGAAGGCCTTGACCAAGAACAGAAAGGGTCACTTCGGTCAACACCCGGGAGCCTTTCACAGGGTTAGTTATCAAGCTGTTCCAAACTATTTCCTTAATTAGTCAAACCCATCCTGTAATTCTTTCCGAAGGCCTGGAATCACAACAGGAAGATTTATTTGCTATTTTCTATCCAACACATTAACTGCTAATGCGAATGGTGCTTTCCTCTCACCTGGGTGGGGAGGGAGAAATTGTTGGATTCGTTGTCCCCAGAAAGGAGCCAGGAGTTGGAGTGTCCCGCAAGCCTGCTGGCCCAGGTGCCCTCCTAAGCTTGACTTCTGACTTCACATCTTCCTCTCTCGCTAATACTACGTATTTTGAAGGAGGACCCTCCCACACCTCCACTTTCTTCTTACCTGACCATCCCCCACCCCCAGAAGTCACTTTAGAAAGCCCTAAGTTTGTTGATGGGTGCCAGAGAATCTCCCGTTTTTGTTTTTGTTTTTTCACGTGTTTTCAACAGTTTATGACAAAAAGGAAGAGTCATGGTTGTGATGTCACCTGATGGAGGAGGGGAATTAGGAAGACTGGTAAGGGAGGGCAGGTAGCAGGAAAAGGAGAAGCACTGACCCTGCCTTCTGGACATCCTGTTTTGTCCTTGGTTGGTTTATTTTAAAAAGAAGGTGGAGCAGCCCCTTGTGGAGTACCTGTCAGGGAGTCTGCTCCCTGACCCCTAGGTCTCCAAATCTAATTCCAGAACTCTTCTTCCTGGTTCACAAAATGTTAAAGGGGGATATGATTTTGTTCTCATTCAGAAACAGCCATCCCTAGCCGGCCATCCTGCCTTCTCAGGAGTAGACCCAAGAGAGATGCATACTGTCTGTGGACAGAGTTTCTGATTTCTTCCTCCTGAGCCTTCATCCTCTCTTGCTTGTTTCTCTCAATTCACACACTCTGCTAATTTCTTTCTGCAGTGGGGAAACTAGTGAAAACTTAATACTTTCAAAACCTAAGCCACATTCTATTCTCTAAAGGAAACCTGGAGAAATTGCCCAGATGAACTCTGCAGATGATTTCCTTCTGCGTGGTGGGAAAACACTGTCATAAACTGTGATAAGAAAGGGAAAGTAGAAAGAGGCAATTTGAGAGTAGGGCTTATTTGATATTCCTCTACAAAGAAGGATGCTGTGTTCAGGTTTTTGTTTTTTTTAGGCATTTGTGTCTTCTGCATCAGGAGACTCTAGTGGGATGCAATAGGGAGAGGTTTAATATCTAGGAAGACTTACAAAGCAGAGACTTTTTATCCCCCAAAGGAAAAAACAAGGAGGAAATTAGAAGAAATATAGATAAATAAATTTATGTTTGAGCAGTTGGTCTAGGAATCCTCTATTGCATTGTTCATTGTTGCCCTATTTCTCTTTTTGCTTTATTTTTCAAGGTTGATCGGTGGGTCTCAAGCAAGGTTGTTGATGTGAACAAAAGTGGTGTTTGCCACCAGTTCTTCGGGTGCTGCTGATTTCATAAAGGTGATTATTTCTGTTCCCTTTAATCTCTGGAAAAAGCCAGAGTCTTTGTCCCTTGTGAGTCCTACTTTCATAGAAACCTTGTTCATTTAAAACACTGGTCAGAAATAGTCAGGACATATTTGAGGATGCTGCTGATGATAGTCTTATTCTCCCCAGTTGGCTCACAGATTCTATTCAAAATGAAGCTATTTGGAGACATGTAAAAGCCAGTAAATTTCCTGGTGCACAAAAGAAAATGGTGCATTATGCCCACTGCCTATTTCCACTCAAAAGTGAATAATGCCCCAGTTACCACCAGGCCTGACTTGATTTATCTTGGTTAATAGGATTAACATGTCAGCCTCTCTCAAGAATTTCCAAATGCATATCCGGAGTGTCACTGACTCACTGGTGTCTTTTTTCTTCTCTGATGGGCATAATGACGCACCTACAAGCAGAGGGCCTTTGTCCAGTGGGAGCAGGCAGATTATCTGTCTCCAGTGAAATAAGGCGTGTTGCAGCCACCTTTGCCAAGATTCAAAGCCAGAACCCAGTCACTATAAAATAATTGTGTCACTACCTCACCAGTGCACTGTCCATGTTTCATTTATATTTTGACTGTAATTGAATGGTTGAAAAGCAAAAATGTAGACAAATTCCAGCTGTATTGAGATCTGTTTCTTCCTCCACTACCTCGGCCCATCATTAGATACTTTCCCTCTCTGCGCAGGAGGTCAGAGTGTATAAATATAAATTGCATTTTGCATTACTTCTAGATGAGTGAAGCTGTCAAAGCAATAATATGAGCTTTCAGTCCCACATTCTACCACTTCTTTCCCATTTTTTGGCCAGGAGGTCATGTGCAAATTGAACGTGACAACCCAGAAGACATGTCCAACAGACTCGTATTGTTACTCAGCTCAGCTGCCTGGCTCGTAACAACATTAAACCCACATTAGTCCCCAGCCTCCGCCAGGCAGGAGCTCCTAAACACAGGACCCAAGCTTCTCAGAAAGTTCACTTCACATTTCATCTGGAAGTAGTAGGCAACACTGACCTAAAATATTTTTCACCCAAAATTTATGAGGAGATCATGTCACAAAGACCAGGGCAGTATATGAAAAGACAAAGAACAAGAAACAAGATAAAGTGTCAAAGAATCTTCCAATACACACAAACACACACACACTCACACACACTAGATGGGGTGTACTTGCTTCTGTGTGAAATTGTGCATATTTTCCAGAATCTATCAGTGATGTGCTTGGAAATAAATTTTCATAACAATGAAGATGTCATTCAGGAAACCACCTGAAAATATGGGTTGACCTTGTACTCTTATTAGCACTTTCTTCATAGCATTGTTTTGGAACTCTAATTTCATAACAAAAAAATAAAACTTTAGCAGCTTATTATCGCCATCATTAAATGGTGACCTTCATCAAACTACATTGTGGTGAAAAGATCAGAAACTTTCATCAATTTTAAGGAAGCTGAATGGCTTGGAGGAGCGGTAATTGTCTATGTGACCCATTCACGTCTTGCCCAGATTGCAGTTAACAGAGACCTGTTGTTCACTGACAGGGTGTTTGATGATTTCTAGGAATTGAGTGGCTGTTTTCATTCCTGTTCCAAATGGACAGGTGTCTACATCAGAATTGGCAACCTGGTTGGCAGACTCAGAGTAGCCAACCAGCAAATTGTTTATGGAGAGTAAACTTGCCTCCCTCCCATGATGAGTGTGCATAAGTGTGAGGGCTGGCAGTGAGGAGGGAGGAGAAATGGAGATGCTGGAGGCAGAAAGATTGATACAGGTCCATGAAGCATAAAGGGGATGGAGCCCTTTGGTTCCAAATGGCGCCATATGCAACTCCGCCTCTCCTGGAGCTCATCTTGTATTTAACCACCTTGTGTTCTAAGTGTACAAATAAAAGTCCATGAAAGTCACTTAATCTTTGTTAGGATGTTCATAGCAATCTCAACAAATAAAATAAATTAAGTCAAAAGTTTTTACATTTTGTTAAAATAGCAGTATTTCCATACATCTTTACTTTCTCAAAAAATGGGTCCTAATTGTCATACCCTCGAGTGAATTGAAGGAGCTTAAATAGTGAATGTGAAGAAGTGGTAACTACAAGAATCACACCTGGGAGTATCTAATTCAAAGTAGGAAGTATACCTCTTATTCTCTGTGGCTAATGCCACATTTTTAATACATAACACCTAAGAGTCACCATCAGATACATAAAAATTTTTATCTCTCCTTTCACTTTTATAGATGATCTTTACAATACAATTATTCGTGCTGAATTTTACTGCCTCAATGTTAGTATTAAGCAACTTATGTGCATATGCTTAAGAAAAAAACAATTGTTATAAAAGGATCTGATATCATTTTTATTGTCTAACCTTTGCTTTCATAAGGATTAAAGTTGTTTTAAGTTTGGGAAACGACAATAATAATAGTAATAATAATGAAACTGAGGCTGACTGTTATGAACACTGGAACAATTTACACTTAATTTTGGACAAATTTATCTGGAGGTCTGCAGTTATTAAGAATTTTTAAGTTATATGCATCTCTGAACATATCACAATGAATTCCACATTAATGGTTAACTATAATGCACCAATTAAAATAAAGAATTTTTTAAATAGTAAAAAAGGATAAAGTATGTTAAGTGTTAAATTTTTAAGCTTCCAATCACAGGAAAGTTTTGTCCTTTCTTTGTCTTTCTCATCTCATCTTTTTTTTTTTTTTCTTTTCGTTTTTTTTTTTTTTTCTTGTGGTGGGGGATTACAGAAGACTGAACTCAGGGTCACTGTACTACTGAACTGAGCCACATCCCCAGCCCTGTTTTACAGGGTCTTACTGAGTTGCTTAGCACCTTGCCATTTCCAAGGCTGGCTTTGAACTCAGGATTCTCTTGTCTCAGCCTCCTAAGCTGCTGGGATTACAGGTGAGCACCACTGCGTCCAGCATCATCTCATCTTAATAAAATAATATGTGCACACCTGACACTTTTTAGTTTACTTTTATTCCACTACATTACCAGAAATTGTAACAATGAAGATCAGAGGCTTTAGAGTCAGACTAACTGCTCCACCTTTGCATGATGTATTTAGACCTTGGAGAGATAATTTAACTCTAGGCCTCAGTTTCTTTATCTGTGGGATGGGAATATTAAATGTCCTTACTTTAAAGACTTGTTTGAGGATTCTTGAAATAGCATACTTTCCATGTTTCAGGAACTGGGTAGCTTCTCAGAGTTAAGAATCATTATTGCTGCTGCTGCTGCTGATAATGATGATGATGGTCTAACATCTGTAAGAGTTACTGTCTTCATTTTCCTCTGTGAGAAAAAAAAATAACAATACACAAAGGGTTGTAGAAAATGTTGAAGTTAGGTGAAGTGTATAAAGCATTTGGCATAGTAGCTGAACCAAGGAAGCCTTCAGTAAATGACAAGTGAATTTTTGGAAAGGAGTGAAAAATTCACTTTGGGAAGAAAATTTATTCTTCAAGCATCCAACTTGGTGTAGTTCATCATGTTTGGATCTAAAGACTTAGTTGATAGAAGATGGCATGAGTAAAGCCAAAGTTGAAAAATGATGCCCAGTTTGCTTCCTTAGTACTAGGATCACAACTCATTCCTTGTCTGATCTGAATTCATATCACTGAATATTAGTGAGAAACCTTAACAATAGTGGGTGGGGGTGGGCAGCCCAAGTTCACTACTACCCTTGAATAAAATACATAAAATAGAAATCAGCATTTGCATTACACCATTCCAAAGATGTGTCATGGAATCTGAAAGAGATATTGGAAGTATATTGTATTGGAAGTAGGGAGTTGGAGTATATTGTTATTCCTGACATTGTTATTTTTCTTCTAGAAACAGGATCAAAACTTTCTGGAGTCTGTATTTAAGGGTAAGCTGTGGCACCATTTAAATGAAGGATTCCTGAAGCTAGAAATCTCCCACCTGCACAAAGAGTCATGCACATCTGTGAAAGCTTACTCTACCTGAGAGGGGCCCAACAGTCAAGGTTCCTTGGGAACTTTACATTGAGCCAATAATTCAATTTTACCAGGGTCTTTAGGGGTTATACATATATTCCAAATAAATTTTTGAGGTTGAAAATAATAGTTGGGTGGTAAATTAACTTGTATATCGGAATTTATGTTTATAATCTTCTATAATTTGGATAAGTGTCCTTCAAAGACCTGTGTGCTAAAGACTTGCTTACTAGCTTGTGGTGCTCTTGAAAAGTGGTGGAAACTTTAAGAAGTGGAGCCTAATGGAAGGAAATTATGTAATGGGGGACATATTCTTGAAGACTATATTAGGATCCCAACCCTCTTTCTGCCTCCCCACACCCTCCTTCCTAGCTATCATGAGGTGTATAGGTCTTTTCCACCACACTCTCCCCATGATGAGCTGCCTCTTCAGAGCCCCTAAGTAACAGGGCAAAGTGACCATGGACTGAAATATCTGAAACCATGAGCCAAAACAAAATAAATTTTTCCTCTTTTTAAGATGATTATCTCAGATATTCTTTATAGCAGCAGGATATATATTATAACTAATATATAAACTCTATATTGGGAAAGGAAAAACAAATAACTTGGGTAATACACTAAGATTCTTGTCCTGGCTGATTCTTTTCTTTTCTTTTTAATATTTTTGTTTTAGTTGTTGGTGGACCTTTATTTTATTCATTTGTATGTGGTGCTGAGAATCAACCCAGTGCCTCATCCATGCTAGGCAAGAACTTCATCACTGAGTCACAACCCAGCCCTGATTCTTTGATTCTGTATTTTAAAAATCAAACCTTCATTAACTGATTAAATAGAAAAACAAGTTGATCAGATAGCTCCCTATTGCTTAAAATTTGGTGCATATGTGTTTCAACTGAATCAACACTGCCCAGTGATATTTAAAATCTCTAATGTCTTCAGTTCAGCTACAAAGCCAAAAGGAATTGGGTTTGCTCCATTCTTTCTAAACCTAACTATCTCATTCTGTAAGAGTAAATTGGATTATGTGAAAATTAAAATCTAAGCAAAACGAAGCAATTCCTCTACCCAGTCACCATTGAAGAACCACACAGCCAAGTGCTTGGCATTTGCCTGTCATCTGCTTATCTGGCCATAGGGAGCAGCCCAAATGACAGGCACACAGATGGATGCCTGGTATGATTAATGGTGTCTACCAGCCCTGGTGGTGAGGATGCAGGAAGTGGTGACAGATAGGGGCTAGGCCATTTTTGGTTTAGTGTACCTTCCAAGGCTTGAAGTAGAGAAGAATCAGAGAGAAATCCAGTCCCATTTTTTGCTAGAAAATCTGAACTTCTTCTTTTTTCTTTTTTGGAGAATCCCTTCCCAAGACCAAACCTTTAATAGGAAGCCAAACAGGCCTCCTAACTGGCCCATCAAAATTACATCTGCTCTATCTTCCCTTCCCTTCTCCTCTTCCTTTCTTCCCTTATTCTTTCCTCTCTCCCTTCTTTGTTCTTTATCTTCTTTTTTCCCCTTCTCCCAACACTGTCTCACCTTGATGATATCAGAATATAAACTGGACCACCAGAATGAACTCTCTGCAGAGTCCCTGAGGAGCAAACTAAAGTACATGATGCTAAGAAGGGCAAGAGCAGGCAGCAGGGAGACTTGTAAGAAACCCAACTCTGGGGCTGGGGATGTGGCTCAAGTGGTAGCGCGCTCCCCTGGCATGCACGGGGCCCTGAGTTCCATCCTCAGCACCACATAAAAATAAAGATGTTGTGTCCACCGAAAACTAACAAATAAATATTTAAAAAATTCTCTCTCTCTCTCTCTCTCTCTCTCTCTCTGAAAAAAAAAAAAAAGAAAGAAAGAAAAGAAACCCAACTCTTTGAATATGTCCCACCTCTTCCTAACCAAGGGTGTCATTTTTGAGTATGGTGCTATTATGCATCAGGGACAAGAGAGACCAAGATTTCATCATTAAATATGGGTCAAACATGAGATCATAGCTTCAGGATCAAATCCAAAGATGACCATTATTTCTTTTGTGGCTTCTTGCTTTGTTTTGGTGCTGGGGATGTAACCCAGTGTTTCACAGCTGCTAAGCACATGCTCCACTACTGAGCTACAACCCCACCCTGATGGCTTCTAAATTTTTAATTAATTTTGAATATGTAATAAATATATTTAAATGTTTTTTAATTAATTTGTTTCTAATAAGTAGTAGAAACATGCATAATGGAGAAAGAAATAAAAAACATTCTTTTCATCTTACCTCCTAGGAGCCCTTCCTACCCAAGTTTACCCTTTTTGGAAAATTAGTTAGGATTGGGGATACAGCTCAGTGGTAGAACATATACTTAGCATGTGCAAATTATATTGAGTTCAATCCTCAGTGCAGTAATAAATAAGTAATAATTTAAAAATTAATTAATATTTTCTGAGCAGTTTTAGGTTGATAGAATGTTTGAGAGGTAATTACAGAGAGTTCGCATGTATTCTCCTGCTAGTTTTCCCTCCAATGAACTCTTTGCACTGGTGTAATATACTTATTACAATTGATGGGCCAATATTGATACATTATTATTATTTAAAGTATATAGTTCACCTTAAGATTTTGACAAAGTCAGGCTGGGGATATGGCTCAAGTAGTAGCGCGTTCACCTGGCATGCGTAAGGCACTGGGTTCGATCCTCAGCATCACATAAAAATAAAATAAAGATACTGTGTCCACCTAAAGCTAAAAAATAAATATTAAAAAAAAAGTTTTTGACAAAGGTGCTGGGCCCAGTGACACACTCCTATAATCCCAGTGGCTCGGGTGGATGAGATAGGAGGATCGTGTGTGTGTTCAAAGCCAGCCACAGCAAAAGCGAGGTGCTAGGCAACTCAGTGAGACCCTGACTCTAAATAAACTACAAAATAAGCCTGGAGATATGGCTCAGTGGTTGAGTGCCCCTGAGTTCAATCCCTGGTACCCCAAAAAGAGAAATGAAAAGATTTTGACAAAGGTATGATGACAATTATCTCCTACTACACTATCATCATAGGGTATACTTCTACCTTGCTAAAAATCCTCTATGCTGTGCTCATTTATTTATCCTTCTATTCTTCAAAACAATGGAAAACACTATCTTTTTACCATTCTCGTAGTTTGAGAATGTCATAACTGGGATAGAAAACCTTTTTAGACTAGCTTCTTTCATTTAGCAATACGTGCTTAAAATTCTTTTTATTTGTGAATAATATTCCATTGTCTCAAAAGTATTACAGTTTGTTTATTCACTAACCCACTGAAGAACATCTTGGTTGCTTCCAAGTTTGGACAGTTATGAATAAAACTGCTGAAAACATCCACATACAGGTTTTTTTGTGGGCATAAGTTTTCACCTCATTCAACCAGAGACCATGATTGCTGGTCTACCAGAGTATGTTTAGTTGGTTTTTTGTTGGTTTTTTTTTTTTTTTTTTTAACTTCCAAACTGTCTTCCAACCCCTTTTTGTGGTTTTAATGAACATATTAGCACAATAGTTACTTAACAAAGATGGAGACACAGGCCGACCAATGGCTTCTGGTGAACAGCAAGGCAAGAGCAAAATGTAGAAAGTACCACCAAGTCACTTAAGAGGATAGATCTAATCAGGCCGCAGGGGTTCTTTCGTAGCCTTGCAATTTACTTGCTCTGTGACCTCTGGCAAATTACTCAACCTCTCCATGATTCAGTTTCCTCAACTACAGTTAAGTTTGGTAATACCCAGACACTAGAGTTCCAAGAATTAACTGAGATATCCCACACACATCTTGACAGAACTCTTGGTACAAGTAAGTTGTACATTTTTATATCTTATTGCACAAACTAGCATCTTTTCCCCCCAAATACCTATTACATTCTTTAGGGATGAATTGGTATTACAGTGCTTTCAGAAGTACCAAAGACAATGAGAATTTTATATACTGTGAAATCTATTGAGAAAAAATCCTATCAGCTAAAATAAAAGTAAAACAAAAGGAAAGAAACCTTACAAAGTAGAAATGCTTCCTTCTCCAACGTCTTGGTCCATGAAATAAAATTCCTCCCTCTGCATTCAAACCTGAGTTCTTATTAGTGTCTTGTTGGCTCAGAATCCTCTGGGGTAAGTCCTGAATTATGAAATACTCTCTCTCTGGCAGCCTGCCAAAGCCTGTTCCGCAAGCACCCAGGCTAACTGGCATCCTCACATGTGAGCAGACTCTTCACCCCAAGGGCCTGACGAATGCTCATGTTTTTTCCTTTTCTCAACTCCACAGGCAGGTGGGAGGAGGGCCATATTAAGCAATCCATGTGGTAATATTTGTAAAATTTCCTTGGGTAGTTCTTGCATGATAACATAATGATATATGCTGACAATGAAAAATAAATGCACTGTAGCTAAACTTCTTTGTATTGGGTTTATTTGGAAATGAATAAACAACAACAAAATTCTCTCCTGTGCATTCCTAATTAATAAGCTATGGCTCCCCACAACATCAACATATCAGTGGGGATGGAAACACTTGAGTATTTCTAACAGCTGATTTGCCTTTGTGATATCAGATAACGAGTTTTCTGTTTTAGCTGCATGCGCAGGGTTTAAGTGTCATGAGGTCAGAGCATATGGAATTTTTTTCAAACTAAGAGTAAACAATGAAACCTGATAACTTATTCAGGGCAAATGGCTGCAAGGCAGTCACTCACTAATATGAGTTGTACCCACATTAATAAAGCATGACACCAAAGGCATATTTAGATCAAAATATTTCTGAATAACTGGAAATCTAAAAATATGCAAGCTGGGGATGTAGATCAGTGGTAGAATGTTTGCCTAGCATGTGCAAGATTATGGTTTGATTCCTAGCACCACAAAAATATTTCAAAATTAAAAAAAAAAAGCTGAGTACAATAGTGTATGTCTGTAATCACCACAATGCGGGAGATTGAGGCAGAGAATTTCAAGTTTGAGCAACCTAATGAGACTCTATCTCAAAATAAAATGTAAAAAGAACTTGGGATGTATCTCAGTCATAAAGTGCCCTTGGGTTTGATTCCCAGCACCAGAATAATAATAATGATGATTTAAAATATTGCAGCAGAGATCATAATCCTGCTAGGAATTATAGACAAGGTGGGTTTAAATTTTGAACCAGAAGACATGTGGTTCTGCTGGAGTCCCCCAAACAGATGGCCAAAGCCAAGTTTTAGGATTGTTCAATCCATCACAGTACTGAAGGAAGGAGACTAGGTAGAGGGCAGAAAATCAAAAGTGGGCAGAGTCTTTCTTATATATGTTCTTCACAATATCCACAACAGTTTTTGATACAGCTTAGTAAAGAGTTGTGGGAAAAAAATGAAAGGAAGAACAAAGGAGACCAAGAGTTGATCCAAATAACTTCCCCACAAAATTTGCTTTGCATGTTTTAGGGCCTAAGGAAGTCTTTCTGCTTTTTTAGAACTTTTTGTGCTATAGTATCCAGCCTGGTGAATGTAATGATTAAAAGCACAGAATCCAAAACCAGACATTCAATTTAGAGTCCTGGGTCTGCCTCTTAACTCTATAACTCTTCCTAAGTGTAAAATAGAAATAATGATAAAAACATATCCCTTTGAAAGTTTATACAAAATAATAGTGCTTAGCACAGTCTCTTGTACACAGTGGCTACTCGGTCTAGGTCTTTATTGCATTATTCTTGTCATCATTGCTATTCTGAGTCGACTACTCCCTTAATGGAATATTTTTCTATCTGAAATTGGAAAGGGTTAATAGCAAGGTTCAGGAATAGACACTAGAGGTGGATATTTCAGCATCCTCGGATGATACCAGCTGTGCTGGGTCAGCCATTTAATTCAGTTCTGAGGAACTTCTCTGCAGGAGACTCAGTGGTGAGTTCTGGGGAGTGTGTAAGAATAGAGAGGATCACGGTGTTACCCAAGCCTGACAAGCACCTTCCCTGCACAGGAAGATTCCACAATCTAGTTAAAATTGCTACCACAGAAAGTGCCCTTCAAATTAAATATAGCTCAAAATAAAAATTGGCCTTTTTAATCTGAATTAACACACATATTATTTGAACCTTGTCCTTTTCAAAACATATATAATAGTTTTAATAAAAATAATTTTGGTTTAAATTTTTTTAAAATATTATCTGAAAGCTAGGTTTAAAATATGTCAAAGTGGAAGCACTTTTGTCCTATATGCACCTTGAATAAAAGACTGCTCCAAATGTGTGAGCTACATGTCTGACCCAAGGATGAGACATGTGTATTGTTTGTTCCTCTGCATCCAAAATATTTGTGAGCCACCATATAGACATGATTGAGACAAGACTATTTGATAACATACATCTGCTTTAATCTTTTTCTTCCTTCCTTCCTTTCTTCCTTCTTTCTTTCTTTTTTTGTTAATAAAAAAGTGTTACAGGGTTAGGGATGTAATGCAAAGATAGAATACTTACCTAGCATATGTGAGGTCCTGGACTTGATGCACACCACCACAAAACAAATTAAAAATTAGTGAAGTAAAAAAATTTGTGGTAGTCTGGGACTCCATTGACTTCCCCAACCAAGCTTCAGAATATATTCTTACATTTGCAAAAGAGAATCCATATCTTCAATGTGTCTCATCTAACCCTTTGCTTTTGATAGGCAAAACAAAATGACAAAACAGTAGCAGCTCAATTAAAATATATAAACCTATAAATAGATAAATGTACTAAATTGGGAAGTAGAATGGATTCAGAAAAATTTAGAGAGATTTGAGAGATGGGTGTGGTCCCAGACTGCTTTCTTTGGACAGTAAGGCAGAGATATGCCCAGTTCTGCAGAGTGCTTTTCCAGCGAATTTTCTTCCTTTTTTTCTTAAAGCCAAATGTCCTGTGGTCTGCTTTCAGCCTTGAAGATATAGTGGAGAATAAGTGGGAGTATCGAGGCTTTTATTTCCAAGTACAATATGAGCCATGCAATTATCTTTCTGCACCAATAGGATAGAGACAGTGCGACTATCACCCCCACCTTTAATGTCTTCTCCTTGTTAACAGTGGCTGTCCCACTGAGTGGGAAATCCAAAATTTTTAAAATATTTATAACTTTCATGGATTTGACTGTGAAAAAAAGAAAGTTTGTATGGAGAGCTAGTTCTAAAGGAATTAAGTACCCAAAAAAGTATTTTGAGTGGTATCTCTAAATTAATACTCAAATGCTGAGAACAGGACCCTTAAAGAGAAATCTCTCTGCACCGATGGGATGAGCATCTTTGCCAGTTCACAAACACAGTACCCTCCCTGGCACCCAGCTAGCCTCCCTGGATTGCCTATGTCATGAATTCAGGTCCCTAACTAGGAAAGAGGAGACAGGATGCACATATTTCATATATTCTTGGAATTCTAGCATCCTTTTCTTTAATGTTCTAAAGCTACTTCAAAAGATAACAATGCCAACTCTACCTAATTCTTAGATTTAATAAAAAATAATGCATTTGTGCCAAACAGCTTTTTTTTTGTCTTGTTTTTCTTTTCTTCTTGCAGTTTTAGGGATAGAACCCAGAGCCTTGCACATGCTAGACAAGTACTGTACCATTGAGCTACACCACTAGCCTATCCAAAGTACTAAGTATTCTCATTAGTTTTGTTTTTAAAGAAAAAAAATGGATATGAATACTCCAAGCCATGATGACCATGCAAGAGGAATTTCTCCCTAGATGATTGTCTCTAGCACTACTGGGCTTCTTTCAGCTCCTCCACTATGAGCTCCTTGTGCTTTGGGAATGACTTTTCTTCTCCTAATTCCCCTGGCCCACTCATAAGCATCCTTTATGTATTAGTTTCAATAGCATCTCTCCTTCTCAAATAGGATGAGTCCTCCCACTCTGGGCTCCCATGCTCCTCTAGGATGACTCCTAGTGCAATTGCTTTTCATCTGCCTGACCCTGCTCTGAGTTTAAGGCCAGGTTTGCCTTTGTCACTGCATCTGGTGCCTAGCACGAAACACACATATAGTAGGTGCTTAGTGATCTTTGATGAAAGTAGAAGAGAAGGTAGAGAGGAATGGAGAGAAGAAGGCAGAAAGTAAAATGAAAAGGAAGGGCAGGAAGAAGGAAGTAAGGGCAGAAAAAGAGATCACTGCAGAGTCATGGCCTCTTTGTCACACCCCTGCTCATGGCCACACTCTTCCTCTCCTTTCTTCCTTCACCATTTTTCTTCTCTTTACAGAAACTCCAAAATTAAAATAATATTAAAACCACCCTTGCCTCAGTATATACTTTCAATTTGATCTGCTTTTTCTTTTCTTTCCTTTTTTAAAAATTTTTGGTTTGCTTGTTTGTTGTTTGGTATGTGTGTGTATGTGTATGTTGTGTGTGTGTGTGTGATTCTTCACCCTCACTCCACAAATTCAAATATATTTCAAAGCCTAATTTACTCAACAAGCATGAAATACTAGGTCTCTCTCATACATATCTCAATAAACAAATTTGTTTTATTAAAATTCAATTTTTATTTGTTTGGAATCTTATAAGTGGTGTTTGTAAGCCATCAAACAAGATCATCTTGATACTGACATTGTAAAACCAATAAAAGGAAGACAATAAAAATGAAAGTATTTGGGAGTAAAGCAAGAAAAGACACATTTGGGGAAAATCTAAAGAAAATGTTGTCTTTGGATAGCTACATATTTTATTTTTATTTTTGTTTGATTAATAACTAATGGTTGATTTAATAAAATTAATGTCTAATCTGCTTAATATTTAAAAAGAGAGCTTTATTCCCCTCCCCCACGGAATGTAGAAATCAGAACAAAGACATGCCCAAGCTCCTGTAGGGCTTTTTGTTATTGAATAAAACTATCCTAAGCAGGGGTTGGAAATGTAGTTCAGTGATAGCCTGACCATCAGGCATGTACTAAGTCCTGAGATTGATCCCCAGCAACACACACACACACACACACACATAAATAAATAAATAAATAAATAAATAAATTATAAGGTATATAATACTGTAAGAGGGTGATATTGCACTGAATATGAAGAAGAACTAGATTAAAAATCTTTCAAAGGAAATTTTTACAGTATTCAGTGAATTTCCCTTTTTCTGCACAGAGAAATCAAAAGGATAAAAAAAAATAAGAGAAAGCTGAGTACAATATAGTGTTATGGGGAGAATATATGGTCATTTAGATTACTGTTTTCATCTTTCACTTTCTCACCTTAAGAAAATTTAGTGCAGGGATGGCTGAGTTCCAGAGTAGGGAAAGAAGTGAGTCCCATCTAGATTTGTTCATGACGGGATATTTCAAAAGTTAAAATTACTAACTCAAGTCTGGAAAATAAGAGAGATTTACTTAGGCATTAAAGATAGGTACTAGGCAGTAAAACTGATAGATCCTTATTCCATTGTCCTATAAGAGGCTGGACCACTCAGAGAAGTTAATTCTAAGGAAATTTAGAGCAAGTTATAGGAAATACTTCTTCACCTGCTAGAATTCATGCTGAGGAATTTGCTGCCACAAGCAGTCATAAAATCAATCACTGAGTTGGATTTTTCCAAGGGGCAGGATAATGTATGACCCACTCTTCTGACTAGCTGGGGAGGAGAGAGGCAATCAATTCACCTGCTTCTAGGAGATCACCATTGATTACAAGTGGGGTCAGCAAAAGGATGTCCCCCACACTTGATCAGGACAATTAAAAAGTGTTTGCCCATGCTCATAGGTCCAGCAAGGACAGTGAAAATAGGCTATAGAGATAAAATGACTTGATCCAATATAAAAAAAATTTTGTTTGATAGGAACAAAAAATTAAAAACACAAAATGTCAATTCCAGGAACAAATGTATGATACACTTTAAATACTTTTATAGGAATAAAATTTCCCTTTCAATATGAATACAACACAATGTTTTTCAATTTTAATCTAATTCTCTAATCAGTATTCTTGGAGTATGTCTGACAAATTTGAAAACAGATAACATGCATGGCAGCTTTTTTTTTCTAAAGGAGAGTATAGTTGAAAAATTGTGAGTGCACTGCAAACATTAATAAAGCAGTGTTAAGTTTGAGGTTGTCATGTTGAATGTCAGTAGCGAAGTCCTTTGATACAGTTGTCACAGTTTAAATTATTTTTAAGCTATCGTCTTCCCCCACCTCTTTAACTTTTCTTTCTTTCTTGAAAATGTGATGTAGTTTCCAAGACTTCACTTTATGCTACTTCAGATACATCAAAAGCAATATTGCATCTTTGGCACTCTAATTTATGAGCTTCTGAAAGAGAGACCAAAAAAAAAAAAAAACAGCATGTCAGACATGGTTAGAGCCTGCGTTTTTATTTGGGGACAAAAGAGTGTCACATGATTTATTAAAAAGAAAATACTTTAAAAATTATAAGACAATATAAAATCCCAAGTAAATCATGATAAAACCTTGTCTTCAAATTAAAAAAAAAAAAACTATACCTTCCTAAAAATGTAAAGAAAATGCATTGTCATCACCTCTGGAGAAACAAGAAATATTACTAACTTTAAGAGACAATAACCTAATTTCATTATCCATGCTAAGAGAAAGTAAAAATATAAGATGTCTAAAAGTTCCTTCATGGAAAATCACCATAATTTACAATAGTCATTGTAACTTTGGAGCTTAACAACAACTTTATTTTTACAAGTATGTTTTATTTAAACATTGCCCTGACCTTCCCCCCAAAAAATAAGTACATAAGTTGATGCCTTAAATCTGACGTCAGGGGTCTTCTAGAGTTGACAGGGTACTGTGTCGAAAGCTCTGCAAGGCTTTGCACAATCAGCTCATACCTGCTACAAACTGCCGTGGACGTGCAACCTCTGGAGCCAATCCTAGCTCTGTCTCTCATCAGCCAGGTTTCCCTGGGGAACTCATATCACTTCTTGTAAAGCAAGTTGCCAGTGTATTGCAAATATCAGTAAGACAGTGTTAATTTTGAGGTTATCTCGTTGAATGTCAGTAATAAAGTCCTTTGATAAAGTCATCACAATTTAAATTTGGACTTTTAAAATCTATTATTTTATTGCCTAGATATGATGGCTTTAAGTTTAAATCAACATAAAGTTACTTTAAAAACAATGACAACACTGTGCCGTAATATCATTAGTGCTCAGTCATTGCACCCCCCCACACCTTCAGTCTCCAGAAAGCCTGGATGTTTCTGAGTGCACCTCTCCCTGGGAAGACAGAGGGACAGTGGAAGTCACTTCTGCTTTCACAGATTTGAGGGTAGGATTGTTACACGCATGTGCTCCTTATTCTGGCCCCTACCTTTGTTGTATCCCTCTCTGATGGGATTTCTCCCTGAACTCTGCACTCCACAAAGTCAGCTAAGCACGCTCCCTGCTGCAAATCTTCCATTTCTTCTTCCTTAGACTCAAATGATTGCCTCCTCCCTTCTCCCCACCAAACCCTAACTTGTCTAAACTCACATTGATGGGTTGGTCCTTGGCTTACATGTTGCCATCTCTGAGAAGAACTATCAAAGTCTGAGTTCCTTGCTCCTTGTATGTAGCCCCACTATACTTTCACCACCATTTTTCATTGTTTATTTGCCTATACACACCATTAGACTTCAAGCTCTGCATGGCAAGAATTTGGTCTTGTTCTTTCAAAGAACTCCATTTCTGATAGACTCACTTTTCAATGGTTCTGAATAGATTAAAAAAAAAAATTATCTAGAAAAGGCTGTTCCTGCTCAAGGCCTTTGGTTTTCATTTTCCACTACTCTACAAAACCACCTTCTAATCAGAGTTTGCCCAAATGAAACTGATATTCCCCATTGTATTCAAAGCCAGTGTTCCAGAAGAACTTGTGTTGGAGTGGTGGGGAAGTAACTGGGTGATCTTTCATGAAACTAATACTGGGAAAATCTAGAATGCAGTATAAATTGGGGAAAGTTGGGGGAAAAAATGGAGACATAATTTCCTTGGGTTTATTTAGCCTATAATGGAAGATTCAGATGAGTTATGTTATTTTTTACATGTCTAAATTTAATTGTTAAATCCAATTGCAGTTTACACATATCTCAGAATAGCAAAATTGTCTTAAACTTACAATCATGTCAGTACATATGGCACATATACTTGGTTTGGTGGTGGATGGTCAGAATTAGGGCAGGGGTGGCTACAAGGCAATTGGAAAGCCAGTATAGTATAGTGAGTTAAACAGAATATTGAAGCAATTTGCCCTCCCATTTTACCTGAAAGATTATAGTTAGTAGAAGCAAAAACATGTTATAATGCGTACGAATGATTCAGTTCTTTGTTTCTCTTTGGAAATGCAGGTGGAATCTGCATTTTGAGATATCTGATGACAACAATAACAATAACTGGCATATTTAAGCAAGAGCAAGATTCAGAGCCCCTGCTAAGGACTGTCCAGGCATTGTTTCATTAAATCATTACAAGAACCCTAAGAGGTGTGGAATTATTTAACAAGACAGAAGAGTAATACTTGAGGCTAAGTGATTAAGAAATTTGCCCAGGGTCACACAACTAACAATCAGCAGAGCTAGGCTTCAAGCCTTTGGTCATTCAATTCCAGAGTTTTTCCTGTTAGCTTCTAGCTAACACTGCTGCCCTTGCCCAAACTCAGATAATGAGATGTAGTGAGAGAAACCTGAGGTCTAGATCTGAAGCGTGGCATTAATTACTGCTCACATCAGCTTGAGCAGGTCACCCCATCTCTCCAGTTATCTATTTCATCATCTGTGATATGAGAATAATAATATTATTATATGCCCTTCCTGCCTTAAGAAAGTTAGGAAACAGGAAAGTACTACACAATTATCAGCTGATAAAGTTTATTTAAAAACAATATAGTTGTGAAATTGCTTGAATTTAGTTGTTATTTAGGGAGTATTTTATGTGTGACAGTTGAAAATTAGTTCTATTCAACCCAAATAACATAGATAGATGTACATGATGCTTTGCCCACATAAACAAATGGGTGTGGCTTGAAGGAGAAAGTGACTGTCCCATAACCATGCATTCCAACCTTGAGGAAACAATAATTGGCACCTACAGAAAAATAAGACATGAAGAGAAAGTCTTCATTCTGAACACACTTGTGCTTATACCATCGCTGCTTACAGAGTAGGAAAATTTGAGTAATAGGGATTTCCTGGGAACTAAAAAGTGGTTTTCTCTTGGGTTGCAGTGATGCATGCCTATAATCCCAGCAACTCTAGAGGCTGAGACAGAAGGATCACGAGTGCAAAGCCAGCCTCAGCAACTTAACAAGACCCTGTCTCAAAATAAAACAAACAAAAAAAGGGTGAGAATGTGACTCAGTGGTTAAGTGCCCCTGAGTTCAATTCCCAATACCCCCTCCCAAAAAAAGTGGTTTTCTCTGAAGAGTAGGCCAGAATCTCCATATTTACTTAGAGAGGACTGATCACTTACATGATTACAAAATTTTGTTTTACAGCCTATATACCCCCTCCTAAAATATTTTTCCATTAAGAATGAAGATGCAAAAGGTATTATCAACTTCCATTGCATGTACACGTCTATGGAAAATGTAATATTAAACAGAATATAATTTGAACAAATTAGAATCATCAAATTTTTCCACCTAACCTTAGCGCTGTGGCCTCCTCAATTTTAGTGAAAAATAACATCATTGACTAAAATACTTTACTTTTTCTCCTACATTTGTTTTGTTCCTGAGCATAGAGTCAAATACTAGAAAACATGCATAAAATTTTTCTCTGCCAAATATTCATTCCCCTTTGGAATAATGCCTTAATTTTCCTTTAGGACATCATCCTCTTTTTTGATTCTCAGTCTTTAAGGTTTAAATGGGGCTAATTAAACTCATTGTCTGCAGTAGTTTGCAAGTGACTTAAGCCTGGCCAATAGAAATGACTGTAGTTTTTTTTCAGGTTTGGACATGTCACCCAAAGAAGACCTGTGGACATCCATCCTGGCCTGTTTGGTGCAATTATAGGAAAAAAAAAAAAAAAACTTAACAAGTAAGATACGACTTTTGGTATCTTTGCTGCCACTTTGAAGAGAATTTATTTGAGAATAAAGCCAAAGGAAAGGAGAGCCACTAAATAAAACAATAGTTTCCTAGTGGTTTCTTTGGCACACCTCTCTATCTTCCCCTGATTCTTTCCATTATGTTAGTTAGCACATCCTCTTTTTGTTATACCAGTCCCTTGTGAGCTTCTGTCAAGTTTAAACTGAAGTCAAGCTTACTAACCCAAAGAAATTTAGTTGTGCAAAGTTTCTATGGATCACATTATGAATCTGTCAGGACCCCTGCAGCCTTTGGGGAATAGGAAGTAGAAAGAAAATCTAAGAAGTCAAATTTACTCCTTTTCATTTTCCTTCTCTGTTATCCAAGAAATGTTAAGTATTAGTAACAGCAAATATACATGGAGTGACTATAATCTGACAAGCACTATTCTAATCCCACTTTGTTGGTAAAAAAATTATTAATACCTCTTACCAGGAGGACACCAATAGGACAGAATTTTTTGTAGTGTTTCAAAAGATATCCCAACACAGAAAGATAAAAGTTAAGCCTCAATGGAATATCTTCCAAATGTCAACATGTATTATAGTTTTATCAGCATAACAATCTAGAAAAATCTGAGTACAGTGACTCACATTTGTAGTCCCACCAATTCAGGAGGATTGCAAGTTCTAAGCCAGCCTCAGCAATGCAGCAAGACCCTCAGCAACTTAGCAAGACCCTGTCTCAAAATTAAAAATAAAAAAGAACTGGGGATGTATGTGGCTCAGTGGTAAAGTGCCATTGTGTTCAGTCCTCAATACAAAAAAAAAAAAATTAAGAGCATTCTAAATTAGGACTCAAATTATGCTCCTTATCCTACCACTGAAATCTGTTGAAGCTTGAAGAAAGCCACCAAATTATTCCTTTCCCATAGGAAATCTGTAATCCCAGGAAAGAGAAAGGAAAAAATAATTGGTTTTTGCTCTGACATTAGGGTTGAAAATCAAGTTTGAATTATAATCCCAGTGTCATCCTTAACTGACTTTTTGAGTATGGGTACTGCATAACCCTGTGTGTCCATAAAGTTATCAGTGAAAGCAAATCTGCTTATTTTACCTAAATTATGCATGGAGCAAATGAGAAATATATTTGAAAAAGCCTTGAGAAGTTCAAGGTTCTAGGTATATGCAAAATATTGTTATTACTACAATTACTAGTAGTAGCAGTAGTAGTAGAAGTAGTAGTAGTAATAGTAACTGTCAAAAATTCATATTTGTCCGATTAAGAGAGAAGACTTCCCTCTTCATTATATCAGAGGAAATCACACAACCTGAAAATCACAATAGGGTCATAATTCCCAATTTATGCTTAATGCCTTATTCTATATGTTTTCAACTCTCATATAGGAAAGAGCAACAATAGAAATAATTCTGGTATCAAAAGAGCTGGTTCTAGACCTGACTCTGCCACTAGCTTACTTTGTGACCTAGGATACCAACTTCCTTTAGCCTTCAGTTTTCTTATCTACAAAATGAAGGGATTAAATTATGTAATGTGGTGGCCATCACTGGTGCTCACCTATACCTGGCTGCCCTCTTCTAGGCACACACAAGACTATCTCAGATCACTCATATTTATTCTTGAACAGGTAACTAATTCTAGTCATACGGATATAAACAGCAAAGATCTGTGTTACTTCTGGATATTTCTTTGCCCAGTGGATATTCTCCAATGTTCTCTTGCATTGTTGGAGCCACAGAGGACACTGCTAATATGAGATAGTCCATATTATTATTTATCATAGAGTCTCTTTCTTCTTGGGGCCTTGAGTGGGTATGTAAAACAGAATGTTCCAATAATCCACAGTTGGTATGTAGTGGGAATGAGAAATGAGCCATTGTTGTGGTAATCCTCAAATATATTAGTGCTATTTTTTTCATAGCAATATAACCTGGCTATTCTAATTAATACAGTTAATTTGGGGGGAGATTTGTGAGTACCAAGGGTTAAAGCCAGAGGTACTTAACCACAGAGCCACATTTTCAGTCCTTTTTCTTTTTTCTTTTGAGACAGTGTCTCATTAAGTTGTTTAGTTCCTTGCTAAGTTGCTAAGGCTCTCTTTGAACTTGTGATCCTCCTGCCTCAGCCTCTTGAGCCGCTGAAATTGCAGGTGTTCATCATCATGCCCAGTTAATACAGGTAATTTCTGTAATTATTCTCAACTTTAACATACTACAATTGCCATATATATATATATATATATATATATATATATATATATATATTCTATACTTAAAAATAGATTTAGAGCAAAAAGATGCTATAAAACCTGTAGATCTGCTAGAAAAATTTTCTTTATATCATATAGGGAAAGATGGGCTAAGGAGAGGCCCTATGGAGTTTCCCTACTCCCAAGAGAGGACATTCTATAAAATCTCTTTGAACATAAGTTTTAATTCCTCCAATTAAGACCTTAAAAAATTAATATAAAGGAGTAATTTATCTTACCAGAAAAATAGATATCAAACTAGAAAGACACATGTGCTAAATAAACATGTACAAAACAGAAATGTCAATTTAATAGAATTAGATATTGCATTTAATTTATTAGTTGTGTTCACTTGAAGATGTGGCCCAGATGGCTTGCATAATAAGCATGTTTTAATTAATTTAATAAATAACATCATATTTCATCATATCTTTATTCTCATAACCAAGGAGTATAAGGTTAATTTTATATAGTTGCATTTTTGGACCAGAAAACCCGTTCAAGGAAAATATCAAATGAATGAGAATCAGAATAATAGTTATTCATAGTCAAGGAGAAAACCAAATTGGAATAATATTTTGTGTACTATATCAAAGTCTTACTTGCATTTTATTGACATCCACATAAGTCCTTGACTTCTATATAAAAATTTAATGGGACCACATAAAAATAAATTCATATGCTTGGCAAATTTCTAATGCTTTTTTGGGGAAGTGGGTATTGGATATTGGACCCAGGGGCACTCTACCACTGAGCTATATCCCTGGCCTTTTTTATTTTATTTTATTTTTTTTTTTATTTTGAGACAGGGTCTCACTAAGTTGCTTAGGTCCTAAGTTGCCGAGACTGGCTTCAAACTTGTGATCCTCCTGCCTCAGCCTCCAAAGTCACTGGAATTACAGGTATGCAACACCATGCCTGACCCAAATCCAACTTCAGCCATACTGCACATCACTGAGAGAGTGAGTGAGCTACACTTCTCCCAAATTGTTCCTGTGACTGTTGAGTACCTTGAGTTACTCATACACCTTAGGTCAATGATAGATCTTGTGCTCACCTTTGATGATCTTCAGTATGTCAACAACAGCAGTGACTTCTGTCTTCTTATTTATACTTTATCTTTCTTGGTCAGCTGCATATATCTAGCCCAGTATCTGGGTTTTCTCCTTTATGGACAGAGAGTTTTGCAGTGAGATTCAATAGATACTTTGTAAAAGCTTGGCAGATGCTCAATTGGGCTCACAAATATTTCATAGTTGAAGAGAATGAGTGGTTCACTGACAAATAGCAACAGCAATAAGTGTTTATTGAATGACTGAACTTTTAATAATTAAAGAGATCTGTACCATAAAACTCTTCTGTGACACTGCTTTAAAAGAGACTACATGAATAGAGAAAGGTATAGAAGGATATAAATCAAACTTTCCATTTGTGCATCTTAATTCATGGGTTCAACAAATAGTTATTGAGTGCCTTCTGTAGTCAATACTGAACACTATATTAGTTCCTTCAAAGAGTTGTACTAGCAATCTATTGCTGTATAACAAAATATCCAAAAAATGGCACATTAAAACAAGAAACATTTATTATGTCACAATTTCTGAAGGTCAGATATGTGAAAATGACTTTTCTAGATGGCTTCATTTATGGTCTTTCATGAGGTTGTAGAAAGATGTTGGATGGAGCTAAAGTCATCTTTAGGCTGAGGGGCCTGGCACCCAGCTCACTGATACAGTCAGCAGGCCTCCCTCATCTCCTCGCTGGCCCTACAGAGACTTCAGGTCCTGGCCACATGGACCTTCTTGTAAACTTCCCAGAGTTTGTGATCCAAGTGAGAGAAGCCCAAAAGCATGTTCCAAAGCCAGAGGACACAAGTATCACATGTGTCCTTTTACTTCAAAGTATCATGGTGTCACCTCCAGGAATCTGACTTCACTTCTTGAAGAGAGGAGTATTAGAGAATTCATGAATATTGTTTAAAAAATATGAAGGAGGATGATTAGAAAGAAAAGTGGTTAAATTTTACTTCATATACATTTTGATATTCTGACTTATTACTATTGATACCTGTTACTCTGTAACTTAATTTTCTATTAATAGACAATATACAAATGGTCATTTGCTGGGAATAGGAAGAGAGAGACAGGGACTTGAATCAGGGGCAATCCTCTGCCTTTCTCAGCCTCTTCATAAGACACTAAGAAAGCATTAATTTTCCATGAAGATATTTGGTATCTTTAGATAATAACAAATATTTTCGGTCACATATCAAGGTATTGCATAGGCAAAAAATTCTAGTCAGGCTGGGTACCTTGTATCTCAAAGAAGGTGAAGGAAACTTGAGATGACACAGAACTTTAAGATCATGAGGGAACTTAGAAACTGCCACATAAATGTGTTTCCCAATGAATCATAATGTTCCAATTTATTTAACTTTTAATGGTCTGACTGTATTTTTGACCTATTGAACTGTTTCGCAGATTCAAATTTTCACCATTGTCCTTCACATCATATAATAAATTCTCAAGCAGAATTTCCATCTGTCAGTTTAGAGAATGCAGCATCTCATCTCTGCATTGAAATCAAGTTCCCCTCACCTTTCAACAGCCCAAGTACCACTTCATCATCAGCAATGTGGAAAGCCACAAATCAATTAAACTTACCTTGCATTTATGAGTGCCCATGAATTGCACTTACAATGGTTTTACAAAAAGGGATGGCAGTGCAGGGTTCTCAACAAAGACATGCAAGTCAGGTAATAGCACATTTGGGGTCAGTGACACTTTTCCTCTTTGTCCTGTCTGTGACTTATGCAGAGTTCTTCATTTCCCACCCCCCTCAGGCTCACTGCCACATCAACATCTCAATATTCCTTGTTGCTTTATTTGAATCTAAGAAGAAAACCACATGCAGGTTTCTGAAGAGCTGCATGTGGCTAAGACAGCCTCAGGTTGGAATGCAGCCCTGTAATCCCCTCACAGGGGTGGAGAGGGAACAACTCCAGAGAGGGTTCCAAATGCACACCAATGCCCCTTCAAGCTAAATTTTGCATTTCGTTTTCTGCTTTAAAATCTCTATTGGCTGCACATCTGAGAAGGCTTAAGAACATAATTTATTCCATATAAGGTTTCCAGTAATTTATGCTCACTAAATTGGCAACATAGGAAGAATTTTTTCATTGACTACCATGGAAGATTATTAAAGGCCATCTTGCACCAGTAAAGACTGCTCAAGCAGTCCTACTATATATCTGAGGAAATTTCCAAGCATCCTAAATTTTAAAAGAAAACAATGTTCATCTTTTGAATTTGTACATTAATAATGTTAGTTTTTAGATAATACAAAATCTTTCTCTAGAGAATCTAGCTCAGGGATAGACTTCATCTTTTTTTTTTTTTTTTTAGTCCCTCTTCCCAAACTAGGTAAATACAGGAAAATCTTATTTCTATAATTCACTTTACTTCTGTATTTTTTTTCCAATTTCAGGTTTATGCCAAGATAACAGCTCACTGCCCTGAAATGCTTGCTTTCTTGACAGGTAAATATTAACTATTTGTTTTCAGCTTTAGCTTTCTCAGCAAGAGACAGAATTAGAACCAACTCCTTCATTGTTTTTTCTTTGGATGTAAAACAGACAGGATCTATATGCACAAGGCCAAACCTATGGTTACAAAGTAGAAACTGTGTTCCATTATTTAGATAGAAAGTCTGATATTTATATCTAGATATTTATAGTTTCTATTCAATTATTAATGATTTTTTTCATTTTCTTTCCAGTTTGTTTTTGCATCCAGTAAATGTAATCATGTATTGAAGCATATTATTTGTAATTATTTCATAATGAAGTCATAGATCTTCCTTCCTTATTATTTCTTAAGAATGTTTGTGCTGAAAATACTAATCTGATACATTTGTTATGATAACTATTTATATTTCTAGGTTTAGCCATTTGTGTATGAACATAATTTCCTGAGGTGGTAGAGGGAATTATATTGGCTTCTGTATTCATCAACTTTTTGTCACTATAATAAATGCCTGAGATATTCAATTTGTAACAAGAAAAGTTTTATTTTGGCTAACAATTTTGGAGTTCATAATCAGTTGGCCCTGTTGCTTTGGGCCTGGATTGAAGCAGCACATCATGGCAGGAGTGTATGGTAGAGCCAAACCTCATGGTAGGAAAATAAAAGAGAACCAGAAGGGACCTGAGGGTTGATGTTCCCCTTGAGGGGACACCCTGAATTACCTAAAGACTAAGTCCTACCTCTTAAATTTTCCACTACCTCCCAGTAGAGCCACCCCTGGGGGCCAATCCAGGAGTAGCTAAAATGTAAGGTATAATTTCAGAGAGAGCTGATCATGTTTTTATTTCATTTAGTCCTGTAATACCTGGGCATTTGGGAGACATTCAAGATACAAACTATAGCAAGTTTACCTCAGACTCACTAAAGTTGGTCTACATTTTTATAGTCGGCATAGGGTCAGCAGAATGCCAAAGACTTGGCAATTGACTTAACTCTAGATTTTCTATCTTTTTCATTTATGTCACCCAATATCATGTGAATCTCTTGTAATGGGCTCTCTGGAATCACATTATAGTATTGATAAAAGAATTTGATTATGTCCTTATCAATGGAGGCTTACAGTCTTCGAAAAATATTCCTGTCTTTGAGTCATGTGCTGATGACTGGATATTTGACCAGTAATTCAACTGCCTGGATTCCAAGACATAGGCTGGTGTTTCCAAGATGATTATCAAGGCTAACATGGCCTTTTCAACTCAAAGCAAACAAAAGCTATAAACTTCTTTACTGAAAATTCTGAATGCTCCCTAGAGCTGTGAACACCAGTAAACATGCTCAAAAAATGTATTCTATTTCACCTTTAAAGTCCTTCACAATATGAATTCTTAAAAGAGAATTCACAAGAGAGATAAGGTGGTATGAGGAATATTTTTTTACAGGAAGAATATGTTTAGAAAAGAAGAATGAGAAGATGTCTTGCTACTAAGCCAGTGGGAATTTGAAATTTCTCCAAGCCAGGGAGCCAGTAGAGTAGCTAAAACATAAGGTATAATTCAGAGGGAGCTGATCATGTTTTGATTTCATTTAACGCTTTTCTTCATGCTTGTTTCCAAGATCTAATTGGTGCCTATGTTGGAAAATGTTAACACAAAGCAGTGTTATAACAAGGGCATCACAACATCTGAGGTGAACCCCTCCTCTTGAACGGATCTCACCCTCTCCCTGGGAATGTGATTGTAAGACCCTAGTTTTTAAGAGTCCAGGGTATTGACATCTCACAAAGACATCCAACAGTTATATGGAAGCCATGGGCCAAAGAAGATATTGTCATCTTCATGCACCCCTTAGCCTAACTAAGAAAGTATCTTGGCAAATGCTCAGGCTTTACATAAAATGACTAATATACTATATATATATATATATATATATATATATATATATATATATATATATATATATATATATATATAGCTAGGCATAGGGGTGCATGCCTATAATCCTAGCAGCTCAGGGGGCTGAGGCAAGAAGATAACAAGTTCAATGCCAGCCTCAGCAATTAAGGGAGGCCCTAAGCAACTTGGTTGAGACCCTGTCTCAAAATAAAATATAAAAAGGACTGGGAATGTGGCTCAGTGATTAAGCACCCCTGAGTTCAATCCCTGGTACAAAAAAAAATGTATGCACAAAGTTAAGTTTTAACCCTGTGAGATTTTACCATGGCTCTGAATGGTTGAAAGGCCAATATAAAGAGTATGGTTGAGTCATGCTGAGGAGACAAGCTAAGCAGTGATTAGGGAAAAAAACAAAAACAAAAACTAAGCAGCATTAACTTGAAGCCTGTTGGATAGTATTTTTCATACTTGGCACTTTTTAATTTCTTAGAAGTGACTATCCAAGGTCTGGGCTTGAATCCACGGTTTAATAACTTGTATTTGGGCTCTTTAGTTGGTAGGTAGGTCCCACCATAAATAAGAACCATTTGAAAATGACTACTTGATTATAATTTAAAACCTCAAATGATAAACATAAAATGATATTTAGATGTTCCAATATCATTAACACAAATTAAAAATCTATATGTCTTATAATAACTATTAAGATGTATTAATTATACAAATTAATGGGTTTCACCATAGTATTTT